CACACTGAGGGACTCACGTCGGCGCTGCGCAGCCGCCCTTTGCCCACCGTCTCCTCCGCGGTGGGGAACTGAAGCTGCTGCCCAGCTCACTGTGGGAAGGGACTGGATCCAGTTTCTCATCAACAGATCAGTGGCTCTTATCCAAGACAGCTTAGATTTCATAATGCTCTTTAGCTGATGGTTTGTTGTAAATGGCAGTTGGGATATAATTTATAATGTCTGCAAACTGTGGATTTTGTTCCTAGATCAAAGATTGTAGGGTAAAAAAAAAAAAAAAAAAAATTTTGAAGCATGGCAAATACTTCACTGTATTTTTACCGGCACTGTATTCTGGTCTCGTTTGTTTTAACCACTTCCCGTGTAAAACTGATGGCACATGATAGAAGAGCCAAGCCAGTCACTAGTGAGTTGTGTCATGTCTTTGGAGATTTGGTAAATGGTAAATGTAGCTAAAGGATTTGAGTATATAGCTACTGGCGACTGATAATTGGGGCTCAAAAGCTAATATGTTATGGCATAACTATATGCAGCTGCACAGTTTTTTTTTAAAAAAAAAAACAAAACACCTTACGGGCAGTGAGGACTCAGTCAGTGGCAGCACAAGCAGAAGAACGTTGCTGTGATGGCAGATTAAATGCAACAACATTTGTACTCATTGTCTCAAAATTATAACACTATCGCTAAATCACCACACTATAACAGTGACAGCACGAACCGAAACACTCCTCAAAATAAGGGTCGTCCCTGGGGGCTGTGCCCGGCTGCAAGGACAGGGTCTCTCTGAAGACCCCGTCCCCCCAGCCCAGGGCGTGCAGAGTCTCGCCCCATCCCCACCGCTTTGGGCAGCAAACGCTGCATCCTCAGTCACCCCGGCCGTGCTGCTGCCGCGGGGCGGGATCGTCTGTGCCTCTGCTCCAGGTGTAGGCAAAACCTGCTGGTGAGGGGTTCGCCTTTGCGGGTATCTGTATAGAACTGAACCCTCTTATTTTCTAGGTCATGTCTCCAATATGTCAAGAACGATTTCAACTCCCAGCCTGTCCCTCCATACAGCCCTTTCACGCTTCATATTTCTC